ATACATGTAAAATGCAAAGTAAATAAATAAATAAATAAATAAATAAATAAATAATTGTATTAGAGAAAGGGTTGATTTGGTTGTCTATTTAGGAGGCGCTCTGTCTTTCGCCTATAATATTAGATTATACACCAAGCCTCTGGAACCCATGCGTGTGCAGTTCCAGTGCTTAAAGCTTTAACAAGATCTGATACTCCCGTACCAATCGCATGAGGCTGTTGGAACTGACTCGGATATGCCACATCAGGGAGACAGTTGTCTTGCGTATTACGGCACTGAGGTTGTCAGTAATCAGTACGCGCCTCCGCGAACATACCGGATGCACTGCAAAAGCGTGGCAGTCCCAACATATTTCCACTAAGATGTAAAATTAGTTTTATATTACACGGCATGAACGAAGTTTTTTTTCTTGAGAACTTGGTCTGGCGCACTGCCCGTGTTCTAAGTTATCTCCGTATTCACTCGAAAAGTAAATTTATTCAGAATAGCTGAAAAACGAATTACTCAGTTCCCGTGAAAGATTATTATAATTTATGTATAGTTTAAAATTTATTAGACACCTAAACAACTCTTATTTGCCAATAAGAAGTATATTTAAAGATAAAAGTAGAAAATAATTTCATATTTTTGAGTAAGGACTGTTTTGTCTAAAAGTAGCTCACAAAAGTTTGTCTCATTCTGTGTTAAGTAGATATATTTTAATGGTTTTGTTACAATATTTTAACGACAATTTTACTGACTTGAAGAGAAACAAATTTTACGTTCAGAAATGGTATCATCTTGAATTTCACATATTTTGAGTTACAACAATATTGTAATAGCAGAGCGATATTATAACAAACAATATGTTTTTCTTGTCCCATTTGTGTTGTGTCATGCTTACAGTATTAAATATGTTGCCAAGCGAAATTACCTTGTACTGATATCACTCCAGTACCAGATAGTTAACCAGATATCAGTGGTATCTATATGCTACGATATATTACGCCCTTCTGGTGTCTTAGTAGACCGGATCAGATTAAAATGAGTTTTTCGTAACATAGCGTTTTATACACAATCATGTTTTTTCAGACTCCCTGACGTCATCCGGCTCTTGCCCGACGCCATAGCAAACACGTTAGCAAAAATGTTTTGGAGGTATTTTCTGTCTATCTACATACGTCGACATTTTGTAGAAACGACAAAAGGAGGCAATTCCAAAAAATATTCAGGCAGATGTTTCAGTTTTTCACGACTGTTTTAAATTTTAAAATTTTAACTTAATTAAAACCAAAATTGAATTTTAAAGGACGTAGATATATTAAAACAGTCCTTAAAACCTAAAACGTGCTCCCGTGAAAAATTTTTCGAAATGGCATTTTCGACGTATCTACATAGATTGGAAATACCCAAACAATATCTTCAAAATATGTTTGCTAACGTGTTTGCTGAGGCATCGCGCGGGCAAGAGCCGAATGACGTCAGGGAGTCTGAAAAAACTTTAGACTTTATTTTTATTTATTTGCGTTCAATAACTTATACAGATGTTTTTATTTTAGTATTAAGAGCAAATTGTGGAAGAGAGGCTTAGTCTCATTATTGTTACACTTATATAATATCATCGAGTATAGAACCATAAATAGAGACGAAATGTCACTTAATTTGTTTGATAATTATTCTGGCAAATTCATTACGGTGACAAGTGCGCTCCGATTGGCCAGCCGGAATTCTAAACAATTCACAGGTGTCGTCAATTGTTTCGCTTCAAATCGGCCAGTTTAACTTTAACTTTGCTATAATGGACGCAAATTGAAGAATTACATATTTAATATTCAATTACCGATGAAATGTGATTCCGTTTGTTTTGTAATTAGATGTTTTGCTGTTTTTCCCACACCACCGAATGTAACAGCCCCCCATTGTTAGAGATATTATCTTTAATGCCATAAATACAAAATATTTTTGGAATATATGGAGACGTACACACAGGTCAATTGTTGGCGCTGTACTATTTCAGCTTTCTAATTTGTGATTTCAGCGCAAATGAGAGGTGATATTTAGAACTGATTTAAGGCCAATTTGCCTGATGAGTTGTCAGGGATGGATGGCCCTTATTTCGTCTATATGTCTGGTTGTATACTCGATGCTTAATACATAATTAGATACGCTGTCTTTATCACATATCTGCAATCAATTAAAAACATATTGCGTAACATGCAACCCAGTAAGCATGACATAAGACAAATGAAACAGATAATAAATGATAACACAGCTTAATGCGCGGGTAGTGCGTCAAATAAAGTTCTCAAAGAAAACGGAATCAGGCCGTGTATTGTTTATATCGCCATCAACATCGTCATCAAGGCTTGGGTTTAGGCTACGGTGCGCCACGCTGCCCGAATACGGCTTGGAGAGTTAACCGAGTGTTGTGAACCTTCTTCGATGAGCAGGTTTTATGACTCAAAAAAGCTAAAATGGCCATCGACACTCGGCGCCCTACGCACGATCACTTCACAGTGCAACAGAGGAGCCGGAAAAGTTTTGTGAAATGTGTCGATCTTCTGAGCATTGAGCCGGTTCAGGCGGGAAGCAAACTTGGGCGCGAAAGAGTACCTCTATTCATTGCCATGGCCGATCTGGACGTCTTTGCATAGGCTTCGAACTCATGGTTGGAGCAAGGAAAATTTGTTCAGGTGGGAATTTTCGGATGGTTCTAACCTGGACTACTTGTGCAGTGCGACTCAAACGGTAGCCCACCTCATATCGTGCCCTGCGAGCCCTAATACCTGTACGCTTGAGGATTTAATGGCGGCTGCTAGTGACGCGGGCGGCGTGATTGTGTTTTGGGCTACCATAGTGTAATGAATGTCATCTATACTATAAGTAGAAGATCATCAAAAAGCTCATGGTGAAATTCAAATAAATTTCGAGAAACTGAGAGATGCGATCCCGGATTCAAACCTACGGCCTCTGCTTGAGATACGGTAGGTTTTTTTTATAATATCAAGTGACGGGACGAACAAATCGTGCGCCTGATAAGCTACACGCCTGTCCATAACAATTGCAGTGTCCTCAGAGCTTTAAATCGCAAAGATCTGAGGGGCACTGCCACTGCGCTCGTCACCTTGAGACGGGCCGTGATTTGCTCGGGGTTTCTCGCGTCGTCGAAAAAATCAAGGAGCTGGGTTTGCGAGTAGCGCCTCAGAAAACTGAGGCGCTGTGGTTCCACAAACTCCCGCGAGGGAGGGAACCGCCCAGCTTCTCGATTCGCGTTGGTGACGTCGACGTCCAGGTGGGGCTACTTAAAATACTTGGGCCTCATCTTGGACGGTCGCTGGGATTTCGAGGAGCACTTCCGGCGCCTGGTACCCCGGATTGATAGGGTGGCGGGTGCATTGCACCGGTTGCTGCCCAACCTGGGGGGCCCTTCGGAGGGAGTTCGCCGTTTATACGGTGGGGTGGTGCGATCCGTGGCCCTGTCTGGTGGGGCACCCGTCTGGTCACACCGACTGACGGGCGTCCGGCGTTGCAGAGCCATGCTCAATGGCGTGCAGCGCCGCATGGCCATAAGGATCGCACGAGGATACCGCACCGTATCCTTTGACGCGGCGACTGTCCTGGCGCGGTTTCCCCCGCTGGACATTCTGGCGGAGATGAACGCGCGTATTTACACGCGCCTCCGCCAGGCGGAAGAAGCTGCGCCGCCGGAAGTGCGGTGGCAGGAGCGCCGACGGGCGTTCGAGGAGTGCCGCGAGAGGCTGGAACAGCCGTGGATCTCGCGCCAGCGCGCCGTCGGCGCGATCCTGCCCAACCTCGAAGTCTGGTTGAGCCAGCGAAAGTGTGTCACCACGTTCCGACTGACACAGATACTCACCGGGCACGGATGCTTCGGTGAGTATCTGAATCGGATCGGAGGCGAGTCGACGACGCAGTGCCACCACTGTGGGAGGGACCAGGATTCCGCCCAGCACACGCTGGAGGAGTGCCCCGCATGGGCCTCCGAGCGGAACATCCTGGTTGCCCGGATCGGGCGAGATCTCTCTCCGCCAGGCATAGTAGCGGCTATGTTGGCGGATCAAGAGTCCCATGAGGCAGTGGTCTCCTTCTGTGTAGCGGTGATGCTTCAGAAGGAGGTCGCCGAGCGTGATCGGGAGAGGGCCGATCCCGCTCGGCGGCGGCGTACCTTCGCGGCTGCGGGCGATCGGAGCGGGACCTCCGTTCGCCAGTAAGTTAGGCAACCGCGAGGAGGACGACGGGGTGGTGTGGCCCGCTTCGTCGTGAGGAGAGGAGGGGGAGGACGTAGCTCCTCCAAGGTGCTGGGGGGGTTCCGGTGCGCAAAGTCGATCCCGGATCCTTCCCACTAGAGCACCCGAGAAGGCCACCGTGGGGTTTTAGCCGGTAGAAGTCCGGCATAACCTCCCGCTGCCCCCGCGGCGGAGAGGTATCCTAGGAGGATTTCCCCACGCAAAAAAAAAAAAAAAAAAAAGGGCCGTGATTTGCACGGGTTGGTTTCCGTACATTGAATGTTGGGTGGTGTCAATCTGTTTTGTCGGAGCCAACAATCTAGCTCCGTTTGTATACATGTTTGGTTAGATAGTATTTAGATTTATCTGTCTAGATTTTGTTAAGTGTTTTCTTGAGGTATTGTTTTTCTAACGGTGTTAACATGTCGAGTAACGATCAAAGTCCCTAAGTAAACAAAGAGTAAAAAGAAAGGTTCTTCTGCTGGAAAATTAAAAGCAATGCTGTTGACTTTTTCCAGCACTATTTAATTTTATACTTTTTATACACATTTGTTACATAATATGTAATAAGTAATTACAGCTATTTTTAACCGACTTTAAAAAAGGTTTTTTTATTATAATATGAAGTGACGGGATGAACAAGTCGCGCTCCTGATGGTAAGCTAGACGCATGTCCATAACAATTGCAGTGTCACTCAGAGCTTTAAATCGCAAAGATCTGCGGGGCACTGTCACTGCGCCCGTCTCCAAGAGACATAAGTTGACAAGTCCCACGTGCCTGCAAGTTCACCAGTACCCTAACCCTTCAAAACCGGAACACAGTAATGCTGACATTACTGCTTGCATTACATTTTCATTTACTTGAGCAGAAGTTAATGAAAATGTCATTATAGTCTTTCACAATGGAAACTAACACTCATCGTCATTGACTTACAATTATATGGACGTCGGGTCCGCGCTAAAAAGTGTCCGAACTTATAGGGCGTTAAAATCGTATACAGAGCGTCATTCACGCTTTAGTCTTCGTTTGTTCGACTGGCAGCGAAGCAAGCAAAATTGAACAGTACTGCGATGACATTACAATTTAAATTCAACGTTTTAGCTTTTTCATATTCCTTTACATGTCACTACATTTAAATAGGTTGACTTGGGACATTTTTTTTGTGGTTTTTGTATTAGACCCGTCGTCCATATAATTGTAAGTCAATGCTCATCGTATACATTTATGCATATAGGCTTAAATTGGAGTTATAAAATTTCACATATATGGTTGGGTGTGGTAAGAACTTAGCAAGGCACCTTTACAGCTACCATAGTGTTAGTGAATCGTTACATTATTTTATTTTTTTAGAAAACTTACTTTGCTTCACTAAGAGTTAGTTTTATTGAAATAAGAAATAAAAAAATAAGGGTATCAACGGAACGTTGAGACGGCCGGTCGCCATTGCGGAAAACATATTTGACGAGAAAGGACGTGGCTTTGTTTTCTTTGGATCTATAGTGAAAAGATATTATACCTAATATAATTTATAACATTCACTGGAGTTTTATTTCTACTTCGAAAACCTCACAGCTGCCGAGAGTCCTAATTTCAAGGCCATTGAAGGCATAAAATACGGTTGAAACAAAAGAATGGAATTTCGTCAGCCAAATCAATCAAGCAACGAGAACTTGGCAGTTTTTTTAACTACAATATTGTCTTATCTGTCGTATGTTTTAAATGCAGAAAATCGTATCGTGGTAAGGCTTAAAAAAATCTACTTCGAATTTTAGTGGAAATAAGTTTGCAGTACTTAACAGTGCAGTGTTTAACTTGATACTAATACGTTGTTGGTCTTTTTTTCGACAATTATTTTATAGGCAAGTGTTACAATCTCTGAATACAGAATTTCGGCTAAATAGAAACCAGGTCAAGTGGATTTTATATTCATACATATAGTTATATTTGTAACATTTTTATTATGTCTACATGACATTTTCTTATCGCGATTCTTATCAGGGTCCATTAGTTATTTTGTTTTTAAGTAATGGATTGTGATATTAAAAGCTATGTGTACGGTTTATTCGACCTATTATTTAATACCTATTAATGCGACCGTATGTTTTTTTTCGTATGTAAGTTACGCGTTAATTTGTGAAATGATTCTGATGGTTCTTTTTATCTTGGAAGAAGAGTACCTCTGAAGTAGTTCCATGTAAATTTGAAGAAAATATTCCACCGCTAAGGGTGGCAAAGTAGGGGATGAATGACTTTTGAGGTCGGTTTTTTTAGTACTCTGCACTGTTTTTTTCTTTATTACTATGGTCAATGTTACTATTGCATTTTTCAGCAACCATGAGGCTCATCCTTCTCTTACTAAGTTGCTTGACTATTGCACACTCGTACAAGATACTGTGTGTGTTTCCCATACCTAGCAAAAGCCATAATATGCTGGGTAAGGGAGTAGTACATAGTCTATTGAAGGCTGGACATGAGGTAAGAGATGATTACCATCAACGGCGCCTTATGTATTATTTCCAAATAATGTAGAAGCCGCAAAGCGAACGTTTATTTTTTTAATGATGAAGATTCAATGTTAAGTCGTTTTAGTTATTTCAAATTCACCCAATAAAAGCTTTTCGTCTTCTTGTTGGACTTTAAGTCCCCTGTCATGTCATGTCCCCAGCTGATCGTCAGCGATAACGGCCGATCAGCGGCGTCGACGACCGATTGGCGGGGTTGACTGCCGATCGGTCGTAGAAACGTCGATAAGTGTGGTGATATTCTTTAAATGTTTTACAGATAACATGGGTAACTCCTTACGAAGACAATAAGCCTCAGAAGAATTTAAAGTTCGTTTATGTTAGTGATGTGATAAAAATTATAGAGGGTAAGTGATTTATTGAACAGTATTGCCACTACTAATTATATATAACATTTTAGATAGAAAGAGCATGTATTTAAATGATAATTTTAAGCATGAAAAAACCTAAATAGTCATCTTTTTTAATAATTAATCATCTTTCTCTGAAACTTAAAATAAATAAATCAATGGATATTTTAGTCTGTTCTGAGCTGCGCAAAAAAATTTTTATTTGCTTGTATTAAAATTGATAGTTTTATGTTAGGCCTTAAAACTAAGACAAATGAGAAATTAAAAAGAAATTTAGATACTTATTTTAGGTTTGCATTGAATTGATATTCAATTATTTTTTTGTGAAATTACTCCACTAGTTTGTTATAGTTATTACAATAATGATCCAACACTTAGAAAAAATCCTTTGATCCGGCCGGATTCGAATTGACGTCTTCTAGCAAACCGTGCCAGACGCTATGTCAACTAAGACACGGAACGAACCAGCGGACCTCACGAATTCTTCTATGTGCTTGTTTGTCGGAAATTTGTATTTGGTTTTTCAAGTACTTGTTTAGCCGTAGCGCCATACATGAGAAATCTATGACGATATTTATATAAATAAATGTTGATTTTATTTGTATACTAATATTATATTAATTATAATATAACTTGACCTGAAAAGATGTTCGTAAACGCAAGCAAATTGGCTTCTGGCACCGTGAAACCCAGTGTCTCCAACGATTGGACGGGGCTGTCACAAAACATAATACTCGATTCAACTATTGTATTTTCCTCTCCAGATTTGGACATGACTGATATGATCAAATCGCAATCTTTCGCATTAATACTACAGATGGGGAGAAATATAAGTACCACAACAGCTGGAAATCAGCAACTGAGGGATATTTTGGTGACGCAACAATTTGATGCCGTTGTCACCGAATGGTTCATGACAGACATATACGCCGGGTGAGTAAATAATATTTTTCATCACTACTTGCTCGTAAATAGTGTCATGACATGCAGGCAAAGTCGACCGTAATGTCCTATATTATGCACACGGGTTTTTCCATTACATTATCGCCCTATGGATTTTTTACGTCAAGAATAAGCAAAAAGTTTTTGTCCTCGAAAAATCTAAACGTTAAGTAAATTTATTATGTGAAGATTATGAATACACAGATCGAACATTCAGAAAAATTTAATGACTTGAACTCACGCCCATGCTGCACCGTAGCATTACTCCAACCATCTGAGCCACGGGTCCAGTTACAGCGTCGTCGAAAGTCGTCTATGTGTTTTTGTTATAAATCTTTGTTCTGACATTCGTCGCCACTTCAAAAATCTCTCACTAGATGTCACTAGCGGATGTAATATTCAATTAGTCTTTTTGAACATGCAAGGCGCTTCTCGCCATCGATGTTATTTTGACAAAATATGGTAATAACTAAACGACTTCCAGCACAAAAAAGAAGAAAGAAGAATGAAAGACGTTTTATTTAATTACCACAATAATGATGACACTACAGGAGAAATAAAAAGAAAATAATGAACATTTGTATTAAATTTCAGCTACGCAGCCGTCCAACAAGTTCCATGGATAACTCTATTCGGCGCTCATATACACACCCACCTCGAGAATCTCGTAGACGACGTTCGCTCAGTTTCGACCGTGCCGTCAGTTATGTCTGGATTCCCAATGCCTATGAATTTCTGGCAACGTCTCGCCAATACTGCGTCGTTTATGTTATTCACTGGATTGACATGGTAAGTATTATAATGTCACACGATGCACCTCGACTACGGCCTACCACTTAACTGACTCGGTTCCTGAGGTAGATGCGGGGTGCGGGAGGAGTGATAGTTTACGCAACAGTTATGTCGTGGTGCATACGGGATAATTTCAACAAGATTTTTCTGACGATGTTCAATAACAAGTTGTTTGAAACAAGGTATTACCGTGGTTAATCGTCTGGATTTATAGGTCCAAATTACTTAGAAATCTGTAATAGCATCCAAATGTTTCGATCATCAAGTATATAGTAACTTCGCCAAAGACAATGGCTACAAGTACTGCTGGACGTCATACGGAAGAGTATTCTTACGCCAAGATGACGGAAAACAACAGTTTCTTATAAAAAGCGAGGGTGATTTGAATAATTTACTACAAGAAAAATGACTAGTATTCGTTTTTAAGTCTTATTCCTGTAACGTTTTTCTTTGGATTTTTGTATTAATACCCTATCTAAATATTGTTAAAAAATTCTACACACATACTCACCCATACTACACAAAACAAATTTATTCACACAAAGCTCTCACTCAAATTCGCCTCACAAAAACAACATATACCCATACCAAAATAAATTTACATTCGCACCGAAACCACATACATTCGCTACAAAGAATAATCACATTAAATAAGTTATACAATAAAAAGGTTGCATCTTGGTATATGACACTATTTATTTACACTAAAACCTATAATTTTGCGATTTATAATAAAAAAATTTACAATGATTGATACAAATCATAACAATACAGTGGAACTAGATAATATTTCTGTGGCGTCAGCCTATTATTGTGATACCACGACGTGCAACTCACTTTTGCTAAACACTGTTGATTCGTTTAATATAATCACCCAAAATATTCGAAGTATTCATAAAAACTTTGATAGCTTATTAGCACAATTGGCTACATTCACAATTAATATTGACGTTATAATTTTGACTGAATGCTGGCTGAAAAACCACAAACCTATACCCCAACTATACAATTATATTGCATTTTCTAATAGTAAGCATCTTAATCATAGTGACGGTATCGTTATATACGTTAAAAAATATATTAAGTGTTCAGTTACGGAGCCAGAACCGATAGGAGCTAGTTACCTATTATTAAAACTTGAACCAGATACTCACATTCTGGCAATTTATAGATCGCCGTCTATACTAAACACAGACACGTTTCTAAACACGATAGACAGCATTATACGTCCTTTACACTCCAGACAAAATATTATATTAACAGGTGATATTAACATTGACATTAAACCAAACAACAATGACAGACATAGTGCTGCTTACTTGGACCTATCTGCTGAACTAGGAATGTTACCGGGTCATCAATATCCTACCAGGTTGCTAAACTGTTTGGATCATGTGATGTTAAAGACGGCTTTCCCTGCATCCGTATTTGTAATTGACTCCACGGTAACAGACCACGCTCTAGTGTTGCTAAATCTTCCTCTGATCAAATTTAAACAAGGTTTAGTAAACTATGTCAAAAAAACTGATTTCAATGCGGCTGTTAGATACCTCCAATCGGTTGACTTTTCTTTTATAACGCCTACCTCTGACGCCAACGTAATCGCTTCACTTTTTGTTGAGAAACTATCGTTTGCAATAATGTCTAATACCAAGTCATACAAAGTACCTAACAGGAGGAAAATTCTGAAACCCTGGTTAACGTCTGGTCTACTTCGCTGCATTCGTCATAGGGATAGGCTTCATACAAATTCTAAAAAAGATCCAAATAATGAAATCCTTCAAATTACTTATAGGCGATACCGTAACTTTTGCAATTTCTTGTTGCGAAAGCTAAAGAGAAACTATGAAAAGTCTTTATTACAATCGTCGAACTCAAATAAGGATACCTGGAATGCAATCAAATCGATACTTGATATTTCGAAATCGAAAACCTCTGCAAATGATTTATTACGTTCAGATAATGGTAAAAATATTCAGGACATTAATAGATATTTTTCTAATATAGGTAAGGAGCTAGCTGATATGATAATTTCTTCAAATTGTAATAACAAAAGTGAATATAGTTTAGATATACCTCCAGTAGTAAATTCTATTGTGTTACTACCACCAGACGAAGCCGAGATTGAATCAATAATAATTAACCTTAAAAATAACTGTGCCGTTGGGTGGGACTCCATACCCGTTATATTTTTAAAACTTTCAAAAAATATAATAGTTCCCCCCCTTACCAAAATTATTGAACTTTGCCTATCCCAGGGAGTTTTCCCACAGGCTTTTAAGAAGTCGCTCATCACCCCAATCCACAGGTGTGGGCCTCGAGACAGTATCTCCAATTATAGGCCGATATCGATACTCAGCTCACTTTCTAAGGTGCTTGAAAAGGCACTTAACAACCGCCTTATGAACTTTTTGGAACATAATAAGATACTATCAAAATCGCAATATGGATTTAGGACTAATACAAGCGCCGAAGATGCGGTTAGCCAACTAGTAGATTATGTAACCTCAGAAAGTGACGCTAAACAGAAATGCATAGGAATTTTTCTCGACCTAGCAAAAGCTTTCGATACTGTCTCGATTCCCGTACTTGTGAATAAGCTAAATCGTGCCGGTGTCCGAGGTAATGCCCTCAAAATAATGGAGGACTTCCTATGCCATCGTACTCAACAAGTTAAAATTGGAGAGATAGTAAGTGCAGAATGTCCGGTCCTATATGGAGTCCCGCAAGGAAGCATCCTCGGACCAAGTCTCTTCCTAATATATATAAATGACTTGTGTCAAATATCGTTACAAAATGGCAAAACATTTACTTATGCCGATGACACAGCCTTGGTTTTCACTGGAGCAACCTGGGAAGAGGTTTGCGATACTGCTGAACGCGGTTTACATAAAGTAAACTGCTGGCTGCGAGAAAACCTTCTGACTTTAAATATATCTAAATCTACTCTTGTCCAATTTACCCTGCCGAACAATAAACAGGAAAATGTTCAAATCAAACTCCACTCATGCTATTCTCCTCGCAATTCTGACTGTTCCTGTCTTACTGTTGCCAAATCTACCAATGAAAAATATTTAGGAGTGATGCTTGACGACAAACTCAGTTGGCGTGCACACATAGACCTCACGACGTCACGCTGTAGAAAACTAATATACGTTTTCAAAAAACTGAGATATGTGGCTAATCTTGAGCTACTGCGTACAATATACTACGCCCTTGCGCAGTCGGTGATGAGTTACTGTGTTGCAGTCTGGGGTGGTGCCTGTAAGACTCACTTATTGACTTTAGAAAGAGCACAAAGATCCATACTTAAAGTTATGACTTTTAGTCCGTACAGATTTCCTACTACATCGTTGTATGACAAATGCCAAGTATTGAGTATAAGACAGTTGTACGTTTTGCAACTTGTAATCAAGCAGCACAGAAACACTCCATACTGCAAAGACAATTACATCAAAAAGCGCACCCGCACTAATGTGTGTTTTTCCATTAAATGTCGCACAGCTTGGGCAAGACGTCAGTTACTATTTATGGCTCCGTATCTGTATAATAAAATTAATAAAACTTTAAACATATATCCGTTAGCTGCTCGTGAAGCTAAACTTAAAACTAAGAACTGGCTATTAACCTTAGATTACCATAAAACTGAAGCCTTATTGTAACAACTGAGAAAAAATAAAGTATTTGCAGGTAATAACGATGTAATAGACTCTATACTACTAACGCGCGAATGTATATAGTCACACACAAACGCAGGCACACACACACCTACACCCGCGCACATGCACGTTCACACACACTCACACACACACACACACACACACACACTCAGTAAAACATATAATATGTAATTTATTATTAAAATTGTTAAGAAATAGATAATGTAAGGTCAAATGTTTGAGAGAGGACACTGACTCCTGTAACACAGGTTATACCTAGCTCAGGTGTCAGGGACTTCACTATTGTGTTGTAACTATTTTGTAACAATAAATATTATTATTATTATTATTATTATTATATTATATAACCAGAAATAGAGACGAAATAAGGGTCATACATTCCAGGTAACTCGTCAGTGATACATCACTTATAAATATCAACTCTCGTTTGCACTGAAATATAGACAGCGCCAACAACTGACCTGTGTGTACGTCTCCGTATATTCCAAAAATGTTTTCTATTTATTGTAATAAAGATAATATCTCTAACAATGGCGTGCTGTTCCGTTCAGTAGTGTGGGGAAAAACAGCAAAACATCTAATTACAAAACAAACGGAATCAAATTTCATCGGTAATTAAATAATAAATATGTAATTTTCGTCCATTATAGCAAAGCTGAAGTTAACTTGTCGATTTGAAGTGAAACAATTGACGACACCCGTCAATTGTTTCAAATTCGGGCTGGCCAATCGGAGCGGATCGGAGTGTCACAGTAATTATAAGGCAAAATAGTTTTCAAACAAATTAAATGACATTTCGTCTCTATTTCTAGTTATAAATTCGATGGTTTCGATTAATAACAAATATTTCTACAGATCTGGAGATCTACTCTCTTTCTCCGTCCGACATCCGACCGAAACAATTAGAGCGTTTGCACACTTCGTCCGATTCGTATGTTCCGAATTCGAGAAATGACAGTCCGAAATGTCACAGGGATCATTTTGTCTCTATGTGTACAAGCGATAATCGCATTTTCCTGAATTCGAATCGGCCTTAGTCCACAAGCGACTTCCGAAGTGGGTCCGAGTGTTCTAGATGTGTGTAGTCTCGGATTCTGAACGAATACGAATCGGATGCAATATGCAAACGCTCAGGGCTCGTTCAAATTAGCCGCGCTGCAACCGCGCGACTGGCGCGCAGCTGAAGTGCGACCAAATTTTTAGTGATGTTTTATCTTTCGACTCAGTTACACGATGGATTCTGACGAAGAAACGTTACTTTCACTTATTTTGTTAAAACTGAAGAAAAAAAATTAAAAAGAATACCAGAACGCATTG